ATGCATTTAACCAGGTACATTACTATCTCTCAAAAGTTGTGATGAAATTTTGTAACACCAGCACATTGAGAAAGCCCAGGGCTTAGGTTTTATGATTACATATGATGCAGATCTCATGATTCTTCCCATTGGAATCACCTTCGAGAAATATTTCCTTTATTTTGACTGCCTTTTATTAAAACAAGGGGACATTTTAAAGTCAAAAGTAAGTCCTTTTAAATGACTTAATACTTTGGGCTTCTGTCCTCTTCTCCGTGTTTTCTTTTTCTTTTCTTTTTTTCTACAGAAGTTGATTGTATATTCTTGTATCCAGCAATGACCAGCAGCTTCCAGAGCTTTGGATTTTACTGTTAGCCATCAGGGACAGAACAGGAACTGTGTCCACCCCCTACATCATTTCCTAATAGCAGGCAACCAGAACTTGCTTTAAAACATCTCCCAAGAGGCATCCTAAAGCACATCGTCTAGCAACTCAGCATCCTGTTTAAGCAATTAATGCCTTAGTCAAATCTGTGCTCGTGCCGTTAGGGTCAGAGAAATTCATTTTTTTCCCAAACAGTGATCCATCAATGAAAGTGCTTCTTAAAATATATGTAAAGTAGGAACTGTAGCTGGCGCATGCTGCTTGTAGAGTCTTTTATATCTTGGCTGCCTGCTTTGAAGCTTATCTTGGAATGATAATTCTATCCACTCTCCGTGTGACTTCCGGCACTATGTTAGCGACCTTAGGCTGCTGTTCTACCATACGTGGTACGGGGTAACTAAGATGAGTTTTGCTTTATTGCTCTGTAGAAACTATGGATTGAAATCACTTGGGAGGGATTTGATAACTCTCGTAGTTTGGGAGCTACTGTAATAAGCCAGTAGCATTGCCATGACTCAAGCAGTAGAGTAAAAGCTTGTCGTTCCTCCCCTGAGACACTATGCTTAAGGTTTAAGAAGGGGAAAAATGGATTGACTCTATGTATTCTATGACTATAACCATTCTTATCATTTTTATCATAGCCTAAGTAAGCCCATTGGTCTTCCCAGTCTTGACTAGATAGTACAATTCCATTCTACCTTCTCTATCCATTTCCCATCTGCTCCTAACACCTACTGACTGTCCTCCAGTGTTCTTTGGAACTTTATGTGCTCCTCAGTTTGGGCCTCTGCACCTGTCCCCTTGCCACTAGCATTCTTCCCATTCCCCAGGTCTGGTCTGCCTGCCGAAGCTCTACTCAGCTTAAGCCTGATAGACTTAGGCAGGAGTCAAGGGACTCTCAGACCTGAGCTAACATGCCTTTGGTTAAAGACGGTCACTCCCTTGGGAGCTGCCACATTTGTCTGACTTACTTGCTCACTATATATTGAATATTGTATATAATCATTAGAGTGGAATTTAGCAGAGTTGAAGAAGCAAGAAAGGACAATCAAGTATATTATATAATTCTTGCTTATAATCTTCTATCTAAACTTTGTTTTGTATAATTCTCTTTACCATTTTTTGGCAGATTATAAAAATAATGAGTTATGTATACATTAAATAATGTATACATAAAATAATGAGTTGCATATACATTAACATTAGTATAATAGTACTACTCCACAAAGAATTGTTCAATGTCTTTTAATCCTTTAAATAAAACTATTTCCACTACACAAAATTCTTCAATAAAAACTATGTATCTTTTATCACTCAGAATCTATATTGATATGAGCATATTTCAAAGTTCAAATTATACTTGAGTTTCTTAAGTTAAACTTAAAGAAACCTTACTATGTTGGTAATCTATATATAACATAGTTTCTAATTTTAAAACATGCAGGAATTATTTTGAAAAAACAAATTTACATTTTGATTGTGCACAAAAAAAAACACTCAAAGTGTAAATGCACCTGCCAAGAAGAAATGCTGTACTAAGAAAAATGGACCAAATGGATTATAATTCTATCCTAGAAACTGATTTATCCAAACTTACTGAATTATTGATGTAACACTATATAGAACTACTTTGGAAGTCTTGAACTACTGGAATCCTCATGTTAGCAATAAAAAGAAGCATTAGGTTCACTAGTGAATAATGCATTTATGATATCCTTCATCCAAGCCATTATTCAGGCTGAAAGTGTAAGTTTAAGATTAGACAAGTTGGGCCAGCAAGCTGGCTCAGCGGATAAAAGCACTTGTTACACAGACCTAACCACCTTAGTTCGAGTCCCAGAAGCCACGTGGGAGGAGAGAAAAGACTCCCACAAGTTTTCTTCTCACTTCCACATAGACAGCATAGAATGTATTCATGTTCATATACATACATCATGACACGCATACACAAGCACGCCACAAGCAATAACTTTTTTCAAAGATTACATGAGCTAATGAATGAGTCTACAGTATTGCCAATTACTTTATAAATTCACATTTGTACCAGAAACAAAGCTAATGAGATACACACGTCTTAACGAGCTGATACCAACATGCTTTAATTTCAAAATTGTTTTTGAACCTTAAGGAAACCTTAGGAAACCTTAAGTTATACATTTATATTTAGTTACTACATTATCACAGATATATAACAGTGTTATCAAATTAAACATATTTGAAACATACATAAGAAAAATCTTGTCTAGTTTAATAAACTGTGTGTGTGTGTGTGTGTGTGTGTGCCCAAGTGTTTGTTTACTTACTCAAAAGTATGCCTACCCCTTGTATTCAACTCAATTCAACTCCTGATTCCCTTCTGGTAACGGGTGGCGCTCTCCTTGGCTCCCAACCGTTTTTCCTGCAGTGAGATTTAAGAACTATATGTACCTTTTTTGTAACTGAGAATATATCTTGGCAGAAGACTTGCAAATCACCTATAAGAGGTGGATTCATAATTCAAAATTAATGTTTTTCTTAAAGAACTGCTTTTATGAGTTTACAAAAATAACACTAGATTCCTAAACCTGAATGGAAAATACACTAAATTTCTTTGGTTATTTGATTTTTCTTAAATATTGCATTAAAATATCCTAGTCTGATTTTATATGATTAGCCTTTCTAAATCCCTGATTTAATATGACAAATAACATTTAATATAATATGCAACAAAGATAAAATTAGAAAATGCCATGTTTGTTAGTCTCCACTTACAATTCTTGATATACGGTTTCCTGATTTTATTTGAAATATTCCCTTGAAATGGAATACCCAATTTTAGCGATGTTTTTTCAAGTGGCAAAGTTAGATTTGAAATGGGAATGCAGCCCTTGAGAATTGGGCATATACATCCTCTGTCTAAACACTGAATCAGTGCAGTCCTCACCACAGAGTTTCCTTCCCGACCCCAGCACGTCAGGAAGGGAAAACCCTCCGGAGACTCTTGAGAAGATGGGGTCCTGGGCAGTGATAAACCCAAGGCTTTTCTTCCTTCGCAGATTCCCTATCACGGCTTTGCAATGTCTGCCCTTGCTTAGCATTGACGTTCGTTTCCCAAACAGTTTACACCACTGAGGAAATGATTAAGCCTGTTTATGTGCTGACGGGAAAGACCTGGTGGGGAAGAGCAGGCTGATACAGATGCAGGGGGAATTGATTGGAAAGGTCCCCCCGGGCAGAGGCAAGGATGGATTCCAGAGTCTACCTGATGAACTGGCCTTGTGAGGAGGGAGGGGCTCTTCTTCCTCTGAGGCCCACGTGGGCTTGGGTTGATGAGAGATGTGATCTGGATGGGATTTACACCCGATGGTCTATTTTCTCTGCAAAAGCTAAAACGGAGGATTTCAAACAGAGGGAGCGAGATGGGTGGGGAGAATGTCAGCAGGTGCGCAGATAGCGAGCCGATTAGAAACACAGTTGGTGGTTCTGGTTGTTCAACAGAGTAAGGCAAGGAGAACCGGGAGTTGGTATGACCCAGCCTTCATTCAATAACCCGGGGCTGATTATAGAGGAAATGAGTCTTCTTGGGAGGGGCTTTTCAAAACAATAGTGGAAAACAGGTTGTCTGGATGTTTCTAAACACTGTATCTGCTCATTCCTTAAAATTCCTGACCCAGTCTTCCCCTGATGATCGTGCTCATGTTTTAGACCATGTTACAGAGTAGGGATGTCAGATGTTGACCAATGGCAACGCCACATGAAAATAAGCTGCTAGGGTAGCATGATGCCCTGAAGAGCTCTTGTGTAAATGATAGCTTCTCTACAGTCACTAAAACACACCCAAATCAAATATGCTTCTTAAGGAACTAAAAAAAAAAAAATGCCTGATACCTTTATTTAAAAGTAGACATAAGGAGTCAGAAATGAGGTTGTAGCTTTGTGTGTTCTTTTTCGCTGTTGGAAAATTTTGCCGTCATCTAAATTAAGTCAACAGATCCTAACACTGACTTTGTGGTTGAGAACTGCTTCATTTCATGACTGTCACATTTGCATTTTCTAAGTAAACATTCCCCTTCATCTCACTACATTCTGTAGTCTGCCTGCCTCTCAGAGAGCGGTCTGACAAGAGCTGGCAGCATCCCTGTTCCCTTCTTGGGCGCTGCCTTTAGCCTTGGCCTCCCCAGTTTGTAAACAAGATTTTGCTCAGGTCACTTGATTACATTTCCAAAGAATAAAACACAGCATGCTTCTCGGCGGCGCCTTGCTTGCAAGCCTGCTTACCAGGGCTGTACTAATGGAGGCACCATGTAATCTGTCCGTTTTCTAGAGAATGGTGTCGCGTTCTAACTCCTTCCAGCAACGATGTCCCCGGCCCTCCAAATGAGACTGATTTGCTAGAGAGATTACAGGAATATCAAGCAATAAATGCACTCGGACCTCAACCGTTTTCTTTATACACACACACACACACACACACACACACACACACACACACACATATTGTATTTCCAACTGAGGATTTTCCTTTTCAGCATTTTTTTTAGTACAGCAGAGGGAACCTTACAGAATAGGATGACTTTGTTTTGATTGTTGGCTGGCTGATCATCTAAGCTTAAATGGCAGTAGTATTATGTTAATTGAATTGTTTTTCCTCTTTTAGGGACCTCTGGGGCCTCCAGGACAAAAGGTAGGGTGTGTGTATCCGCGTGAAGGAAGTACTTGTGCTGCTTTGTCTGATGAGGGCAAGAGAAGTAGGTGGAATTAGCAACCACAGACGGTGCTAATGGAGTTAGTGCCCATTGCGCATTCTGCTTTCTAAACCATTTTATTAAGGCACATCAGGATGGGCCTTAGATTTCCTCTCTGCTCCACGGCAGAATGTTCAGTAAGTCCAGAGAAGACTTTTTGAGCTGTCGGCCGAACTCGTAGGTTATGGAATATTTAATTCAAATATTGGTAACACATTCTGACAGCATTTACAACATGAAGGATCGTGTGACATTGCAAATTGATTGCTGGCCTTGGTCAACCATATAACTGCCAAATGGCCACAGAACTGACCCTCGTAGAGGACATGCTTGTTGCTTGATTCATTGCTCGGCTTGGCTCACTCACTGTCCCCCTTGGCTGAGGGAAACTGAAAAGTGACTTCCTGATTATAATTTCAGTCTTTGCCACCATCACCAAATTCCATTTTAAAGGGGAGGATCTCGGAGTCTGAGATCACACAGCAATGGTTTAGCAGCGAATCCACAGCAACAGCAGAGAGATGGCTTTCTGCCATCACTGCTAACCTCCCACCCCGAACGGGGAGGGAGAGGATGTCCAAGTCGCAGAAAACAATTGTGTTGTAACAGGTGGGAAAGTGGTTGCTCTTCATCCTTGGACTTCATCAAAGATAGAGGCTTTTGATCCCCAAGTGCCATCTGTTGAAACACAATCCGTCAAAACCAAGTCAAGCCCCTGCACTGTGAGACCTCTTGCGTGCCGGAACAGTTTGTCCCTCATAATAATGTCTCTATTAAAGCTCAGTGTGAAATTGTAAAGTTAGCCTGATCCACGTGCAACCAGGATAAAATGCCGGCTCCAGGCTGCAAGATCTTTAATTCCCAACCCATAGGATCAGAGGCTGCATTAAGAAACTTGCCAGCTCAATTTGTTTGGCATATACGTTTTCTCCAGTGGGCTCTTTTTAGAACAGTGTCATGATTATCATGCCTATTTAATAAAAATTCTTCCATTAGTATAAAAGAAATTTAACATATAACTACAAGTCTGTTTTCTTGCTCTACACTAAGAATAAGCAAACGCACACACACACACACACACACACACACACACACCCCTTCTCCCAGAACCTGAAGTGCATGTGGTGAAGGGGAGAAATGGCATTGCCTTTTAAAAATATTTACTAATACTTAGGTGCCTTGTGTTATCTCACGTAGTGACTGGCTTTCCTACCCTCAGTTGAGCCATCCACAGTCGACTGTTCATTTTCAGCCAGTGGGTATACGGGATCATGTTTACATGTGCAGGGATCTTCAGCTTCAAAATTCAGAAGTTATGTTGTTTCGGGTCAGTGCACAAGATTCGTGATGCCCTCTTGAGTCCACTTTAGAAGTCTTATCAATACTTAGGTGACTTAACATGCTTCCTGGAAGCCCAGAGGGAAAGTGGTCCGAATATAACAAATTTGAGTTGCCAGCATAGTGTCCTCATGTAGTAATCAGTTGCTTTTTTGATTACCGTCTGTTTTGTGTTCTATAAGTTTGGCAAGTTCAAGAGTCGCTGCGCTGGCTTGGCTTTTTCCTGGTGGAACTAAATTATCTATGTCTTTAAAATGAAAATTTTGAGCCTTGTGGCCTCCTGATTACAGCTTTCAATTTATATGAGAGTCTTTAAGTCATCATAGTTAAGTGAGTACTCAGAAAAAATATTAAACGTTATCTCTACTTTCTGTGAAAGTATGAAGATCTGTCTAGATTACTGAATACTAGAACACAGAGGATAAAATCTAGAAAAAAAACCACAATCTTAAAACCTTTTGTATGGGAGCTATAGAAGGTTTTAGCCATGTAACATTGTGGCTGATGTAACAAATGCTGTACAGATTTAGAACTGAAATATTGATCATAATGTCAACTAAATTTAATTATGTGCTTTTTTAGGGTTCCACCGGAGCACCTGGGACCCCAGGCATGAATGGGCAGAAGGTGAGTTTGCTGACTGTAGCATTTATTGTATTAACTTGGAGACTGTTAGGGGAACAGAATCATTCTAGGGTGTGGTGTTATTAATAAGCTTGTATGTTTGCAAATACGAGAAAGCCGTGGAACACATGTTCACATGAGTTGGTTTTAAAGAAGCAGTAATTCCCAAACTGAAAGTTTTCCACTCTAAGTGTTTTGGATGTGTTCCATTTTGTTAAGCTGTTGTAACGATGTAGGGGAGAGAGGAGAGGCTGTACTTAACATTCAAATGCTTGTTCTGATCATGGGTAAATTAACGTGTACCATTTCTTTGATTAAAAAAGTTATTTATAGAATGAGAACGCATTAAAATTTTCTGAAAGCTCTTTTCACTGTTAGGCAAAGTTGGGATTGAAATAGGCTTTCCATAAACTGGTACTATTAACTTCTGGTGTTCTGTTAATAATGAAGGGGATCAAAGTACAAATCTCTCTCTTCTCTCTCTCTCTCTCTCTCTCTCTCTCTCTCTCTCTCTCTCTCTCTCACACACACACACACACACACACACACACACACACCTCTGTGCATGTGTTTATTTATTTTCATAGCTTATTATCATTTGTAGAAAACATCTAATGTTATCCTACAGGTAAGCCTGGTATTTGTGCCCTTAACATGCTTACCAGATCTCTAGTCTGGAACCACTACAGAGATGAACAAAGCCACCGTGGTAGCTAACACAACCCAGAGCTGGCCCAGTTCACCAGGGTCTAGGAAGCTGAGCTTGGGACTTTCCTGTCTCCCTCTGAAACCTGGACCCTTAGAAAGCTTATGACTCATCTACTCAGCTTCCAGAATATGCTAACGCCCTGTACCCTGGACCAAGTTCTGAAATCCCACAAGGACCCCAGCTCTCCTTGAAAGAACAGACTTGAGCTTGGCCTTTTCATCTTGTCCATCTTCCTCTCCCTCTCTCTCTAAGACCTCTTAAACCTACAAAGTAGCTAAGAATAGGAGCCCAGTACTTCGATGCTGTGTAGATTCTGTCAAAGTCTTTGAATTCTCTGACCTCCTTTCCTGCCTCCATATTAGGAGACTAGCTCAATTCCTGCCTCAAAGGTCCATGCAGGGATTAATGTATTAAAAAGCCTTTATAAAAGTGTCTGTCATTGCTATTAAACCATTCCTATATTTTATTTTAGTGGAAAGCTAAAGGTTTGATTGATCTGTATTTCAAAGAGGCAGGTCAGAATTACTCAGATTCCACGAAAAAATAATATTCCCCATCAAGGCTCATAGTACCCTTACTACATAAACCAAATACTGAGTTCCCATCCATAGCCCATGCTAGGGCCCCATTTACACTCCAGTAAAATGTATATTTTTCTGCCCTCTCCCCAATCCTGGAAAAGTTAGAAGATTGACTTTCTTTTTTATAAAACTGCATATCATAGAGGAGAAACATGATCAAAAATTTAAAAAGTACTTGCTATAAGGAAGTTTTGAAGGCTGCATAACTTGAGATGTTTTTGACATTGGTGAAGGCCAAACTTGCATGCGTGCTTAATGTTTTGCTTTGTCTTTTGTCTTTTGTTTTTCCTCTGTCCACTTTTGAGAGCCATCATGAAAATTTATAGAAAACTTTAACCTGAGAGAACACAACTTGAAAACTGCCTTTTTGAAGACTTCATACTTTTTATTTTTACAAGGAAATGCGCAATTTCCTTGGAAAGAGACAGGAATGTGACATTCTCTTGTCCTAGTCCCCGAGTTTAAATTACATATCAAGGAAACCGCAGTGAACAGTCACAGCTTTATGTATTGCAATATATCTTTGCAGAGTTTTAAATGTGTTTTCTCTAAAACAGTGGGAAGCCCGCATCCCACATTCGTAAAGATATGAGCACAAGGTAGTGAGAGTTCATTTTTCCAACTTCATGGATCTGGAATTAAAGGACTGTGGGCAGGACACCCCTTAATCCTCACTAGTACTTAAAAGTGTCATGGCAGCTAGTTCATCTTTAGGACGTTAAGTGTGGAAGGATTCTTCTCCACCAGGACAGCCAGTCTCTGACAGTAAGAGCAAAGCTGGCAATAATCCTACAGTTGGAGGGTTGGAGGGTCTGAGTGGCTTAAACTTCTAGAATGTCTTTTTCTAAGAAGAACATTCACAATGGCATCATAGTTTCTTGAAAGAACTTCAGTATCCTGTCATTACCTTAATAAAATGTTTTCTCCCATGTTACAATTTCATTTTTTCCAAAGTCGCATTTTTGATGCCTAGAAAGTCATTTTCTGATGACAGGTAAGAGAAGGTGTGACTTCTAAGCCATTAGAAACTTTGGAAAATAACAGAAAACCATTTTTCCCTGTCTGGTTGTTGAGTTGGACAGAAGAAAACTGTTTATTTCCCACCAAACCATTTCCAAGCCATTCAGTTTGACAAAATTGGTGATGGTGACCTATATTGCATTTATTTTGTAAAAATAAATATTGGTCACTTTGATTAGCAACCTGGACGTTTATTTCCTTATTGTGCTATGTATCTGTTACTTATTTTCAATAATACTAATGATAATCCCGATATAGTCACATGATGGATACAGGTCAGTGCCCATTGGAGGCTGTGGTGTGGTGTAGAAAGAATAATGCACTTAGCACCCAGCGGGTGACTCTTCAGTACCAGGTCTGTGCAAGTGGTGTGGCCCATTAAGTAAGCTTTGTAATGTCCACCTATGCAGTTACTAATGAAGACTAAGTAACACGGATTTATGTCGTGCTCTTCCGATTCTTTATATTGTACTGAGTAAAAAGGCTCACATAGCAGTAGCACGGTATGAAAGTCTAACCTGGCGTCGGCCTGTAAAGGAATACTAAGGAGCCTGTGAAAAGTGGCGGCGGGGTAACACAGCAGGAACTTTACCTCCTAGCCTGAGAGAGAATGCTCCGTGTCTTTGAGAACTCTATGCAACATTCTTATGGCCCTGGTATAAAAGGCAAGAGGCCTTAGAGTGCTAACTAGACAAGGTAACTGAAGGCAATGTTATTAATAGATGCTCAAAATCTGCGTCTATTAATATACTAACATGTTTTAGGAGACTCTGCACTTCGACTCAAGCAAAGAGACGATCCCCTAATAGCCAACATAAGATGAAAATTAATATACAGGAAGCTGGAATCTCCCCAGCCCCACCTTCCACACAGTATAAAATGAGTAGGAATGATAGAAGCGTGGGGAGGAGGAGGTCACATCACGTCATGTATTACTTCAGAAACGCAGTCACTGCTAGCTAACATCCTCAACTCTGGAGGTGATAAGTCTGTTCTTGGAAGAATCTTTCCTCTCTGGGCTTGAGGTATATCTTTATCTACAAAAGAAATGAATGTGTGAATTTATCTCTAAGTCCCCTAATAACCCAGGCCCCAGAATGTCATCCCTGTCACATTACCCATTCAACAAGTTCCCAGCATCTTTGGTTCCCAGCTCGGAAAGCTGGCTTCCCATGCTTTGCATTGATTTCCAGGAGCCAAAACAGGTCAGATGTCATTCAAAACCCTACCAAAAATATGAACGGTTGCTGCTAGTGACATTGGACACAAAAATAAGTTTTTTAATTCTCCTGTGTAGGTCCTGTTGGTTAAAACTCTAATGAACACTTTACTTGTGTGCTGTGATTGATCTGCACCAGGCAAATGCAACACATGGGCTCAGTTAAACCCTGTTCCTGAAGAAGGGCTCTCTGGAGGAAAAGGGTACCATCATTAAGCTGAAGAAGTGGTTAGCAGAATTTACGGAATTTTGTGAGAATATTTGGACATCAGTTCTTTCAAACTCTACACTCAAAATAGGTGTTGTTTTAAACCCCTTGTTTTAATTTTCTTTCACGTGTTTATCTTACTTGGCCCAAGCATAGTAAATAAGCCCATCGCCAGAATAATTTATTTGAGCATCAGTTAGTGCAAATGCCATGGAAGAAGAAATCTGCTAACAGATAAACGGCACGTGAGAGGCTCAGCATGCATACATCTCAGCCGAAATCCTTTGCACTTTATCAGTAGAAAAGAGTGTCAACTGTTTTCATGATTAAAAGCAGATTATTTTTGCTATGAAATCTAGTATTTTCCAGAGTTCATAAGGATTTTCTTGCCAAAGCAAGAAGAATATAGATGATCTTGGCCACTGTAGCTTTCAAAGGCTTTTCTAGATCCTATTTTTCAAGTTTAAAACATAATGTTAAAAAAGAAATGAGACCAATGTGTCGTCTATGAATCTGTCCCAGATAGCTGTGTGGTTTTTAAGTGACATTAACTTTTCATTAGCTCGTAGCCAAGCTATTTGGAATGCTGTTTCATCTCTTATCCGGGAGCCTCGTAGTTCTTAGCTGACATTCGTCTTCACAAAATACTTCCAATGGCATTTCTTAGTGTAAGTATATTTAGAGAAGAGATAAATTGAAGCTTCCAGCCTTGCAAAGGTCAAACCACTGACTCAAGTCTACATAATTAAACCACACAGTGATCCCACTATTCTGTGCTTGCTCCAATCAGTATAACTCAAACACAATGTCATTCTTGTCTCAGTCTTAAAGTAGGAATTAAGGCCTGAATAAGATGTAGGTCAGCACTAAGTGTGTGCTTGGCATGTGTGCAGCTAAGATTCTGTCTCTAGCACACCCCCAACTTTGAATTAAATTCTTGAAGGATTTCAATATGTTGTAGTTCTCTTTGCGGTAGCCTAAAAGTTTCCTGTAGCAGAACTTGCTGGTGAGCTATTTAATTGTGACTTTCTGTCATTGTCCAGTAAGTAAAAAATAGGAAAAGAAAAGGCTGATTTCTGATTCCAGATTGGTTATGGTTCATGGAAATTATCTTGTAAGAATTGAATTACATTTATCGCATCTGCTGTCTTCTTGGAGATTTGGTAAATTAGAATCCCAAGATCACTGTCCCTATAGTTGCCATGGTAACTCTCATCCTTTCTTGTTAGCATCTTCATTTACCCATTACTCATTCTTCCATAAGAT